TCTCTCTCTCTCTCTCTTTCTCTCTCTCCCTCTCTCTCAATCGACCGGGTTCCCGGTGGTCGAGAGCTGCCGCGCCACCGCGGCGGCGGCGGCGGAGAACTTTCGCGCAGCCCCTCGAACAATCCTGGGCCCTGGTTTGCAGCGGATCGAGGGCTGGTTTCGGTGCAGGAACAAGGTGCTGAGGGCCTGCTGTGCGCCCGCGTGCGGCTATGTAAGCGCGCGTGTGGCTCGCGGTGTGTGGTTGGAGTTGGGCATCCTCGACCGGCTTCATCTTCCTGGGCGATCGATCGCCCGCTACCCCTCACTGCCCAGATATGTAAAATGTGCCCGCCCGTCCAGGATGGGCCGGGGGGGGGGGGGTGCACATGTGGATGAGCCGGCTTTTGTGCGGGTGGTGGGGGGGGGGGGGGGGTATTCCGCGGGGGGGGGGGGGGAAGCGGGGGTCGAGCGAGGGGGGCCGGGGGGGTGGTCTTCCCCCCCCCCCCCCCCCTCGACCTCCCTCTCATCGAATGAGCTGGATGAGATGCCCCCCGCTCAATGAAGCAAGATCGGCCGCTTTTCCTCGCTGTCCTCGGCACACACCAAAGGCGCCAAAAGGCCCCGGGAAATCGGGCCAACAGGACACGAGGGGGCAGGTGACTCGAGCAGCGTGTCCTGTCCTCGGGGGTGTTCTCCTCCCGGCTGGCTGTCTTCGCCCCGGGGGGTGGGGCGGGGTAGGCGGAGGGGGGGACGAGGGACATGGGCTCGCCTGGCGTTCTCCGCTTTCGAACAGGAAGCGGCTGGGGGGGGGGGGAGGGCATCGCGCCTATGCCTTGGGCCGGAGAGAGTTCTCCTGCCTGCCGGTTGTTGGTGGGGCCCCAGGACTTGTGACGAGGTGTGCTCCGGGGTTCTGGCACCGATAAGCCTGGCCCAGCCGCGGGGTGGGTGCGTTCGAAGGCATGGCCACGGCCAGAGGTCCGCCCCATGACGCCCCCCGGGGCGCTGGCATATCCCCCCGCCCTGCCTCCCCCTGCCTGTTCTACCGAGGAAATGGAGGTTCTAGGGGAGCCCGATGGGAGAAGCAGGGGGGGGGGGGGGGCACAGGGCCGGCGTGATGGACAGCTGCTCTACTGCACGCGCACGGACGAGCGACACTCGCTTGGGTTGAGCTGTTGCCCCCCTCTCAGCAGGGGGGGGGGGGGGGGGGCCCTTCGAGCTGTCTGTCCGGAGGGGTCTCTCCGCACGGGTCGTACTGTGCGGGGGGCACATGCCCCCCCATCTCCAGGCCTGTCGGTCCTCCCTCTTCTCCCGTCGCCGGGCCTCACCGGCCAGGCCACCCGCCCGCCGACCGAAAGCTTTGATACCCCCCCCGCCCATCCCGGGATGTTGTACTATCAAGTGTTGATGCGCGGCCCGGCCATGATTCGGCAGCGCAGCCGGAGCGTGACCCATGGGGTCGACTCTGGGGAGACCCGCGGATAGCAAGCGAGCGACTCCCCATATAGGTGGGGCCGCGGGCAACAGTTCGAATTATTGGCCAGGCAGACAAGAAAGACGGGCAGCATGGCTGTGTGTGTGTGTGTGTGTGTGTGTGTGTGTGGGTGTGGGTGTGCGCGCGCGAGTAGGAGTCCGCGTGTGGATGCAGGTGTATATGGGTGTAGGTGTGAGTGTGAGCGGAAAGGCGGGGGGGGGGGCGGCCTCCTGCCGCAGTGTCCCTGCGGCCCGATTTCCCTCCGCTCCGCGCCCTTCGCCTTGTGTGTGTGTGTGTATGTGTTTGGGCGCGCGCGAGTGTCCCTGGCAATCCTCGTCTGGCCCTTGTTTTTTCGGTCCATGGCCGAGGGGGCCTCGCGCCCGCCCCGAGGGAGGCCCTCAAGGGCCGTACTCTCATGGCCCGATGAGTTGGCAGGCGCGCCACTATGCCATAAACCTGTCGTCCAGCCCGGCTGTGTCCCTGGGCCCGGTTTTCTCCTCGTCTGGCCCTTGTTTTTTCGGTCCATGGCCGAGGGGGCCTCGCGCCCGCCCCGAGGGAGGCCCTCAAGGGCCGTACTCTCATGGCCCGATGAGTTGGCAGGCGCGCCACTATGCCATAAACCTGTCGTCCAGCCCGGCTGTGTCCCTGGGCCCGGTTTTCGCTCGTGTTCCCGTGCCCTGTCTCTCTCTCTCTCTCTTTCTCTCTCTCCCTCTCTCTCAATCGACCGGGTTCCCGGTGGTCGAGAGCTGCCGCGCCACCGCGGCGGCGGCGGCGGAAGATCGGAAGAGCGTCGTGCAATCGACCGGGTTCCCGGTGGTCGAGAGCTGCCGCGCCACCGCGGCGGCGGCGGCGG